AGACATAGAAAGATTGCATTCATCTGGGGGATATAAAGTAACAAAGTATGAGATTAATACCCAAGAATAGCTGAGATCAGCACCAGGAGGATTACTCCATAACTTAGAGGCCAGCCGGGTATCCTAGAGGAAAGGGCAGTTCAGATAGAGAAGGGAGCACCAAATAAAGGATGTTTGGAGGATCCTCCCAGGAGGGGAGATGCATGTCGAAAGTAGACTATGGACTGAACATGTTTGCCACTCAATGCCTCTTTTGCAGACCACAACACCCAAAAGGAGAGAGAGAACACAGGGGATTGCCCTGCCACAGAGGCAGGGGGGGTTGGGGGGATGGGGGTGGGAGGGATATTATCCATGGTGGTGGAAGATGGGCACTGGTGGAGGGATGGGTATCTGATCATTGTATGATTGAAACCAAAGAAAAAAAATTGTAAATCTACAACTTTAAAAAAAATAAAATAAAATAAAGGGAAAAAAAAACTATTCCCTAAAATCAGAGAGACAGTGCAGGAAGAAGCCACTTGTCTTGCATGAAGTTAGCCCTGATTCAACTCTTAGCACCATATATGGTCATCAAGCCCCATTCTCTAAGAGCCAGCAGAATAAAACATGTGCCCTCTGCCTTAGGTCTTTGCTAGGGTACACTATTTAAGAAACTGTCAACAATTGAATAAATAGTTTTTCAGACTTATATTATGAACCCTAGATTAGTAGGCATCCCTGTCCCTGGGCAATAATCAATGTGACCCCAACCCCTCTTCCCATCTCTCTCTCTCTCTCTCTCTCTCTCTCTCTCTCTCATACACACACACAGAATGAGAGAGAGAGTCCATTCCCTGGAAAGCAGGGGGGAAGTGATGAAGACTCATTCTGAACCAAGCACCAGAGACACTTACTTTGTATCTGCCAAAAATTCTTAACTACTAGACACAGTATATATGCAAGGAGAGAGCATACCCCTCTGCACATTTAGAGAACATAGAGGAGTTGTAGGACTTAGCACTCTCAGTAACTTTGTCTTATTTCACAGATTCACTAGTTTCCTACTAGGGCTCTGACCTTGCCTGAACAACATTTGCTTGGCGCTTATCAAATGTCTTTGTATCTGTGCAACTGAAATTCTTATTTCTTCTCCTATCATTTGATTTTACCTGCTATCAAAATATGCTAATCCCACTTAATCTTTCCAGTTTTCACACTCAGCTGTCAATCATCTAATTACAGTCAATCTTTCATTATCTTTCTGCAGAACTCCATTACAATAACCAACCAAGTCCACTATCACCAGTGTCCACAACTAACTCTTTCAGGACAATCCCTTATGTGGATGTTTTCCTATGTTTAGATTAATGTGGTTCATGTCTAAAAAATGTGGAAGCATTTTAAGATAATTAAGGGCACAAATGTCAGTGTCAAAGTGCCTGAATACAAATTCTATATATCACCTTTATGATCTAGAGCAACGTATTTATTTAATCATCTTTGTGATCTAGAAGAAATTACTGATAATTTTTTATGTAGGAGTACTGCTATTTATTCAGCCACTGATTAAGCTGATTGAATTGGGCATGAACTCCACCTTGCTTTTTTTTCATTTTTTGTAATTTTATTTATTGAATCACTGTGAGAGCAGTTACAAAGCTTTCATGTTTAAGTCATTAAGCAGCTTGATCAGGAGCCAGAGAGGCCATTCTTGGGTGGTGACTCAGGGTGTCAATGGAGCAGGGAGGAAAGGGCAGGCTCCACCCCCATCCCGTGAGGCCACGCATGTCTCATCACTGCTGGCCCAAACCTGACTGTCCAGTGGCCTCTTGAGAATGGCAGGCACTGGGCGGCAAGGGGGAATAGGCCAAGGCACAAAACCTATTCCCACCTGGGGTGGCCCAGTACCAGTAATCTATAGCAGGGACTTGACAGATTTCTGCCAAAAACCACTGGTTTCCAAGATTTGTTTCTGAGTCTCTGGGATCATGGCCATTAAGCGGCTTGATCAGGAACCAGAGAGGCCGTTCATGGGCTGCGACTCAGTGTTTCATTGGGATACGGAGGAAAGGGCCGGCTCCACTCCCATCCCCTGAGGCCCCACATGTCTCTTCACTGCGGGCCCAAACCTGACTTTCCAGTGGCCTCTGGAGGATAGTGACCACCGGGCTGCCAGGGGGAACAGGTCAAGGCATGAAACCTATTGCCACCTGGGGTTGCCCAGGGCCAGTAACCTACCGCAGGAACAGGACGCATTTCTGCTAAAAGCCGTTGGGTTTCAAGATTTGTTTCTGAGTCTCTGGGATCATGGACATTAAGCAGTTTGATCAGGAACCAGAGAGCTATGCCTTCAATTATAGAGCTGAGGTGGTTTGTGGATGTGTCTCCCACATACTTAACTTTTGTCTGTTTACTTTCTTCATAAACTTTGCCCCAAGTTTTTGGAGTCTGGCCAAAGGCACAGCAGCAATTTTGGGATGTCTGGAAGTCTAAAGGCACTATGAGGCTGCTGATGCACTCGCCTCACAGGTACAGATTGACCTGCTGGCAGCACCATACTCCCGAATACTGATAATTTTTAAACATTCTGTGCTATATTTGTTTTCTCTGCAAAATGGGATTGCAATCATAACAATGCTTACCTATCAAATTATGAACATTAAATGAGCTAGGATAAGTAAAAAATTAGAACAGTTATCAACATATAGTTGGCACTACATAAATGGTAGTTATGTGTTATCACACCAAGTTCCCAGAAGAGAACAAAGCAGAGTCTCCTACCCCGTGCCTGACTGTCCTCACCAGGGCCCGACAGCTGAAGACCTCCGGGACCTAGCCAAAGTCATGCTGAGACCACTCTCCAGATGCTTGGATGAGCCTTGCGCATAAAGGAACCAGCAGAGGAACTCAGGTGTGCGGGACCCGGGGCTGAGATCTCTAAGCCTGCAAGGTTTGGGACTGGACCTTCCAGTAGCTAGACAGTTACATCCACCAACTGCCATGTAACCCCAACAACGGCCAGGATCCAGAGATTATCACACCAAGCTCCCAGAAGAGAACAAAGCAGAGTTTCCTACCCCATGCTTGACTGTCCTCACCAGGGCCTGGCAGCCGAAGACCTCCAGAACCAGCCACAACCACGCTGAGACCATTCTCCACACGCATGAAGGTACCAGCAGAGGAACAAAGGCATGCGGGGCCTGGGGCTGATATCTCCAAGCCTGCTCGGATCGGGGCTGAGCATTCTCTACCCAGATCCTCCATCTTCCAGTAGGCAGGGGTCACACCTACCTACTGCCCCCCTGGCGCTGTGTAATCCCATCAACAGCCAAGACCCAGAGACTATAAAACCCAGCTCCCGGAAACAACATCTTATTATTTCATTCTTACTTTGGACAACCTGGCAGGCTACCAAATGTAACCTGCCCACACGGCAGAGTCTGGCAAACTCCCCATGGCATACCCAATATGCCAAATACCAGTGACAATGATGGGTCTAATTCTCCTAACCCTGAAAGAACCTTGAATGTGGCACTTTTTAGAATCTCAGGGCTAGGATGAAGGAGACGTTACTGGTGCCTGCTTGAGGCAATCGACGAACAACAAGATGATAGTGATTGTGATGTGTGTTTTATAGAAAGAGAGAAAAAAATGGCTTAATCTTTATCAAAAATAATAGCCATAGATATTGGACTATAAATCATCCCTTCATTGTAAATTATCAGTAGTTTTTAAAATTTTGTTTAGAAACACTTATGAATTTTATCTTTACTAACAATAATTAAACATATAGGGAATATACTACAAGAATTGGATAGGTAAGCTAAGATCCCTCGTGATTATACCAAAGCATTTTCTGGTCATTTTAAGTTTATGCATGACTAAACATGCTCATATATTACCTCAGGTAATCAGCTCATAGATAATCAGAATACATGATTGCTCTTTTGAGTTTGAGCGACAATTACTTGAGAATAAAGAGAAACCTATAGAATTTTATTGTCCAAATTGTGTTTATTTGGCAGTTCACTAGGGACATAGAAGATAGCAGCATAGAAGACAGCTAGCTGAAACAAACTTGCCTCAATGCATCCTAGAGATTTACCAGTCTGGAAAAGCCAGAACATGCAGCTCTTACATCATATTGATATAACACGACTCGGAAGCCTCATACTACAGAGAATAGAACACGAACTTAGATAGAACTGGAAAGCAATGTTTGTAATTATAAAGACATAAATCTTCATGTCCCTAAACAGATGAAACCCTTTGCCATGTTACAAATCCATATACGTATCTATGTATAAATACATAGATACATAAATATATATGTAAGAAAAAAAGTACTTAGCCTCAGTAATTAAATACACACTGTGATATGTATCTTTACAGAAACTTTGCATGTGGGAAAAAAGATTTCAATCTGTTTCTAAGGAAAATCATCTTTCACAAAACATTCATAAAATAATTTCATTTTAAAAACTGCATACTTATTTCCCTTAGAATAATTCTATTTTCATATGAAATGCCCTGGTCATTTGTTGTTTTTGCTCCTTTTCATATTTTTAAATTTCTTTGTAGTTTCATCTTCTAGCATACAAGCTATCTAATGGCAAATCTGTCTCATGTTTATATCATACTAAATTGACAAATATGTCATAATATCATCACTAAAAATCTTGTTTCATTCTCATTCATTTAGTGAACCTTAGCAGAATTTTCTAAGAAGGCTAATTTAAATATTATAGATCTAAAGGCGAAAAACACACAAAACATAAAGTTTATGCTTTTTTCTCAATTACTTGCTAAAACCAATGATTTTATTAAATCCCTTTTACTTCATATTATTAAACAAAATACTTAAAGATGAGATAATAAGACTATCTTATGCTTTTTGCACTGTTTTGCTCCTCAGAAGATTTTTGCTCTTGAAACCAATGTTCTACCTTGGAAACGTATTTCCATTCTTTCTCTCTCACACATCTTCCTAAGAAAGTTTCAGTAGAAACTCGCTTGCTAAGCCTATACTTTCAGGGATCATTTCTATAGTTACTTATTAGAGAAGCAGCTCTGAATGTGTACAATCCCAGAAACCATGAGGAGAACATAAAGTGTTCTCTCCTGAGGTTGGACCTGACTTTTGAGTATTGTTTTTGCAACTGTTCTTTGTCATCAGTGATGGTTCATATCACTACTAAACTGGCATGAGGCAGAGGACATGATTGGAGTGATTTCTGCCAAAAAGAAAACAAAGGTGCAGTGTGGGATGGGGGATGGGAAGTGGGAGGGATACTGGGATCCGAGGTGGTGGGAAATGGGCACTGGTGGAGGGATGAGTATTTGATCATTGTATAATTGAAACCCAAGCACAAAAATTTGTAAGGTACCTCATGGTGTACAACTAATGTACAACTGTACCTCATGGTGTCTCACTAATAAAAAATTTTTTAAAAAATTATAAAAGGCACTGTATCACTGTAAAAAAAAACAACCCGATTTCTGCCAAAAAGAAAACTAAGGGGGAAAAAAAAGAAACTATTTTGCTTCACAAAAAGGAGGAGGAGAAGAAGGAGGAGGGGGAGGAAGAACAAGTTTTGCCTAGAAGGAAACTAAATCTGTGCTTCTTCTAACCTGGATAATGAATGACACAGTTCAACTAAGCAGCTGTACATCATTCTTCTTGATGCCTGGGGCATCTACAGGTTCAAAATATCTATAGGTTCATGGCAACTTACTCTTAGAAACATAGTTGTAGAACCAGAAAAGTTTTCATAATTTAACTAGACCATAATCTTCATTTTCATATTTGCCCAAGAGCACTCAGCTCAGCCTATACAGTGAACACAAGCTGTTTCCTTAACTCAAAGCTCAGTTCCTGAAACTCTCATCACTTTTAACCAAGGTCTAGGAACCCTTCCCTTCCCTTTCCTTCCCTCCCCTCACCCCCTCCCCTCCCCTCCCCTCAACTCCCCTCCTCTCCCTTCCTTTCCCTTTCCTTAATTTTATGGGCACACCTGGTGGTACAGAGAGCTTACTCCTGGTTTGCCACTCAGAGATCACCCCTGGCAGGCTTGGGGGGAGCATATGGGATGCCAGTGATGGAACCCCGGTCAGCTCTGTGAAGGTAAATGTCCTACCTGCTGTACTATTACTGCGGCCCAGATACCAGGAAATTTCTGTGATGCAAAAATAATCAAAAGCCATGCTAAGTCAGTCACTTAATCACTTAATCACTTAACTTCCCGTTAGTCGTCGATTTGCTCGAGCGGGCGCCAGTAACGTCTCCATTTGTCCCTGTCGCGTGCTAGTGTAGCCCAATGGCATCTCTTCGCTCCGGGAACATGGAGGGCCTCAAACCGATCATTCATGACCTTGACAAAGAAGTCTGACCATCTGGTAGGTGGGCGGCCACGCGGTCTCTTGACATCCCGTGGAATCCAATCAGTAACAGCTCTAGTCCAACGGTCGTCTTTAAATCTCATTACGTGACCAGCCCATCTGATTTTCGACACCTTGGCAAATGAGACAGCGTCCCTGATCCTTGATCGTCGACGGATGTCAGAACTCCGGATTCGTTCTCTCATTTGAGTGAAACGTGGTATTCCAAGCATAGCTCTTTCTATTCTTCTTTGGGAGACCTGAATAGCGTTCTCATCTTGTTTGCGTAGGGCCCAGGTCTCTGAGGCATATGTTAATGCAGGAAGAACAGTGAAATCAAAGAGATGTGCCCGGAGCCGGAGGTTCTTCGTCCTCTTAGCTATTTCTTCGACGTTCTTGAAGGCGTTCCAAGCCGCTCTCTTCCTCCTGCGCAGCTCGGGTGCCAGGTCATTTGTCATGTTGACCTCTCGACCTAGGTACACATAGCTGTTGCATTCGGAGATGGTCGTTCCATTGAGAGCGAATGGGGCGTCAGGAACAAGGCTGTTTCTCATAAACATTGTCTTCGTAAGATTCAGCTGTAGTCCTACCTTTCCACACTCATGGTCAAAGTCGGCCAGCATTTGTGCCGCTTGGCTGATGTTTGGTGTTATTAAAACAATGTCATCAGCAAAGCGGAGGTGGTGTAGTTGCCGACCATCTATCTTCACTCCCATTCCTTCCCATTCCAGTCGTCGCATGATGTTCTCGAGGGTGGCACTGAAGAGTTTTGGTGAAATGGTATCACCCTGCCGCACCCCTCTCTTGACATCAACGATCACTTCTTTGTAGAATGGTGAGATCCTGGTAGTGAATCCGCAATACAGCTCACGGAGGATCCTGATGTATTGGGCTTGAATGCCCTGATTGGCTAGGGCTTCAATGACCGCTTCCGTCTCAACAGAATCAAAGGCCTTCTTTAAATCAATGAACGTTAAGCAGAGCGGCATCTTGAACTCCCGAGAAACCTCAATGAGTTTGATTATCGTGTGGATATGGTCGATGGTGCTGAATCCTTTGCGGAACCCTGCTTGCTCACATGGTTGTCCTTCATCTAGTGTTCTGCCAATCCTATTCAGGATGACTCGAGTGAACAACTTGTAGATGACAGACAATAGGCAGATCGGGCGATAGTTGCCAATGTCATGGATGTCTCCCTTCTTGAACAGTAGTATGGTCCTGCTGGTTTTCCATTGAGATGGAACCTTGCATTCAGACAGGTAGCGAGTGAAGAGCCGAGCCAGTGTATTGATGAGTACTGACGGCAGGTTCTTCAGGTGTTCAGGTCTGACCTTGTCTGGGCCGGGTGCTGTTTGCTTCTTTACTGACGAAATGGCGTGTCGGATTTCGGAAGGGAGAACGTTGGGAACGACATACCCATCCTGTGGAATTTGGTATGTTGGCAAGTGGACATGGCTATCGAAGAGATTTGAGTAGAAGTCATGGATAATCTTCTCTATTGCCGTTCTGGAGGATGTGATGGATCCATCAGGACGTCGGAGGGCAGTCATCTTGGTCTTATAGTTGGCGAAGGACAGGCGGGCGTTACGAATACTTTTCCCGGCTTCTGCCGCATCTACCAGTACTTTTGCTCTTCTCTCTTTGAGGTCTTCCTTGATCGCATCTCTGCACTGCTTTGCAAGCTCGGACGTTAGCTTGCGGTTGCCTGAGGCATGCGCCAAACCACGCTGGCGAATTAGCTCAAGAGTTTTCGAAGATAGGCGACTTTTTGTGGCTATCTCTCTCTTGGCGTTCCTCGCACATTCATGGAGGTGCTGAACCAGTCGATCGTATTCCTCGTCAATGTTGTCAACAATGGCATCTTCCCATGTTGCCGAAATAGTACCAAAGAGTTCCCAGTTGGTGGTCGTTCTGGGAGTTCTCTTTTTGAACTTTGCAGCCCTTTCTCCCCGCTCTGTGAAGTAGAATTTTGCACGAAGGAGACGGTGGTCCGATCCCGTTCGAAATTTTGGGACAACAGCGACATCAGTCAGGCAAAACCGTCGATTGAATATGATGTGGTCTATTTCGTTGTGGAATCGTCCACCGGGAGACTCCCATGTCCATCGTTTAGATTCTGCCTTCTGGAACTGTGAGTTACCATGAATGGTCTTGGTCGACATGATGAACTCAGACAGTCTCTCACCCTGTTCGTTCCATTCTAGGCCATGGGTTCCGATGTGAAGTTCTTCAGCTGATCTTCTCGGTCCTATCTTGGCATTAAAATCACCCACAATGATCTTGTAGAAGGTGTGGTCTTCTTTATAGAATTTCTCTAGCTCCTTGTAGAACTTCTCGATTTCTCTTTCATCATAATGAGATGTTGGTGCGTAGACAACGAAGATAGAAACTGCAGGCAGTGAGCCACATCTATTCAAATGTAAACGTCCGATTCGGGTTGTTAGGCATTCGAATGAATCAGTGCTCTTGGCCAAGTTTGTGTTGATAAGGACACCGACGCCTCCAACACCTCTTTTATCGCATGTTCCGAGGAACAATTCTTCTCCAGTGTCGAAAACGGCATGGTGAGATTCGTGTCTTCTTGTCTCGGTCAGACCAATGATGTCGTACTTGATCATTCGCGCTTGTACCATCAGGTCCTCGATGGATGCATCTGATGCTAGCGTACGTGCATTGAAAGTACAGACGATCATTTTTGTCTTCCTTCGTTGTGGCAGCCTAGGTCGGCCTTGAGATTTTGTCGGCCTCTCCTTTCTCATCCTTCTCAGTGCTGCCATGTCGGTGAAGCCTTCAGGGTCAGGTGAATGAGACCAGTTGTAGTTACTGGTTTTGGCATATCGAATACACAGCGGATAGCTTGCCAGGCTCTTCCGTGCGGGCGGAATACTCTCGGTAGCTTGCCAGTCTTTCCGAGAGGTATAGAGGCTTTTGGGGTGACCTCTAATCACCCTTGTAGGTGTTACCATATTTGAACCCTATCAAATATGGTACGACAATTCCAGAAGACGGGTATTTAGCGTTTTATGATGTGTTGCGCGGCCGCTTGCGGCCGCGCGGGTCCGGAAAGCGTCCTGGAGTGTGGCGACGGCTGGGTAGTGGAAGTAGTGTCAAGAGTGGAAGTCTGCCAGTGGGGTATTTATCTGGGTAGGGTGGGTCTCCTGTGCACAATTCGATCCCTGGGTGGTTGATGGAAGCAGACAGGGCAGGGTAGGGTGGGGCTCCTGATTAGAATTCCTTTGTCACCTGTGGTGGTGGGAGCAAGCAGAGAAGCTCTGTCCCTGGGTCCGCCGAGCCTGGAGTCCAAGGTCTCAGAGAGTTCCGCTTACCTTGTTCTGTGGGTCTTCAGTTGTGCGTGGGTCTCGGCCGGAGCTAAGTCAGTAAATCCTTCTAAAACGAGCCATGAAAGAAACAATGCACTAATTTAGAAAAATCAAGAAAAATCAGAACTTCTAGACACTGTAAAAACTGTTTAGAAAATATATAAAATCCTGGAGCATGGCTATAAACCTTTAGTCCCCTGCCTGTACATTTGAGATATGCGGGGATATTGTCCACAGACCTTCACTGAACCTTCGATGTAATAAGTGATCAGCTTTTGCTTGAAGCAACTTATCACAGTTTCAGAGACCTCTTTTTGAAGAAATTCCTGCTCTAAGAATCATTGAAACCCACAGGAACTGGGAGTTGTGGGTTGGAGGTGAAGTTAGGTAATGCATACTGAGGTTTCTTAGGCTAATGGTGTCGGGTTAAATTATTGTCCTGTTTTAGTTTTTTCTTTTCCTCGTGGAAAACTATCTCCCCTGTTATGGCAGTAAGATATACAATGCAAATAATTAAATACATGGAAAAGGGAA